CAAAAAAAATTTATACGGTCAATTATTTTTATTTATATTGGTTTTTATTTAACATGGTGATTTATCTGAAGACTAAATTAGAAACAATCAAAGAGAAAATCAATTATACTCTCTATGTGCAAAAATCGTTATGAATACACTTCAGATGCATATACACGTACACATATTACTTCAAAAATAATTACCAAAAAAAAAGATATGAAGTATGATTAAATGCAAGTAGTACAGTTGATCTGAACTCAGCCTTCACTAATTAACTCAATGTAAGAATTTCACTCAATCCTATAAAACCTTGAATAGTAGTCACGTGAAGATTTGCTTTAAAATCGAATAATACACTCTAAGAAAGGAAGTTTTTTATTTGTTTATGCAATATTTTTTTTATCTTCTATTTACATGAAATTTCAATTAGTCATATAAGACCTTCTTCTTCCCCTATATACGCTCTAAGTAGCCACTTAAATGGTAGTTTTATGAAAATCTCTCTAAGTGAGAGGTGTTCTTTTTGTACTCTTGAATCAAATAAAATACCGTCCCGTCGGTTACTATATTCATGTTCATGCTAGCTAATTAATTTCTATTTGCTAATTGATTTGTTTTTGCTGAATAATTTTACAAACTTAATTCCAGTGTATTTTGTAACAAAGAAGAAACCCAGCTCCGTATTTTAACTTTAATAAAACTAAAAAAAAAATTATAGGGAAGTTGATGCGAATAAAATAACATAAAGAAATTTTCAATAATAAAAATAAAAATAAAGTAATGTCGAATTTGAATTTTTTTTTTTTTTATTATTATTATTATTATTATTATTATTATTATTATTATTATTATTATTATTATTATTATTATTATTATTATTATTATTATTATTATTATTATTATTTTTTTTCTTTTTTTTTTTTTGACAAGACCCTAGACAACACGACTCAAGAAAAAATGAGATAGACTAGAAGACACAACAATAACATTAAAGATAGGCGAAACCTGTTTTGGATGTTGGCTCTGATACCAAACGATACGAACCCCGTAGAACAACCTTTCTTCTCCAAGGAAAACTGGAATAGCCTCTGTAAACTCGTACGCTTGCGCTTCTTCCAATTCTTCATCTTTGAGGTTGTTAGGATCGTATTATACTCTCCCTCTTTAAAAGGATTCGTCCTCCAATCCGAACAAATATCTAAAGGAGCATATAGAAACCATCTTTCACGATCATCTTCAAACAATTTTAGCTCATATGGTCTAGAATAATCCAAAGTGGATACACTCAACATTCCCACTGAAGTATAGTCGGTCGCATTGGTACAACCAACTCCATCAATAATTAAACTCGAAGATACACCTTCATGGCACTGAGTAGGAGCAAGATAATCTTCGTGTATTGCATCACCATCTTCATCGGAATGCACGATTGGAGTTTGCACTCCAGTTAGCTTGACGGTGACTTCGATGCATGGCTGGAACATATCGGTGGATTCTGTGCGTTCACCCCGACTTATCAATCAATCTTTCGCAATTGATTGTGTCGTCTTCACATACCAACGTTCTTGCTTCTTTATAAGCAACGGGTCGCGTTTCGACCCATTTAATTCCTCTCTTTTGGATGTTCCGATCTTGCTTCCGCATAAGGTATTTGGATCTCGTAACAAGTTCTACGGGGTTCTTATCAGTTGGTATCAGAGCCAACATCCCAAACAGGTTTCGCCTATCGTTAATTTTATTGTTTTGCCTTCTAGTATATCTCATATTTTCTTGAGTCGTGTTGTCTAGAGTCTTCGTCAAAAAAAAATATAACAATAATAATAATAAAAATTAATTCAAATTCGAATTTTGATGATTTTTTTAATATACTCTAGAGAAAAACTAACCTAGACTCTAAAATCGCTCAAAACAAATAACAATAATTCGAATTTGAATTTTTTTTTATTATTATTATTATGATTTTTCTTTTTTGTTGACAAAGGCTGTAGACAACACGACTCAAGAAAAGATGAGGTAGACTAGAAGACACAACAATAACATTAAAGATAGGTGACTGTTTTGGATGTTGGCTCTGATACCAACTGATACGTACCCCGTAGAACTTGTTAAGAGACCCAAATACCTTACGCGGAAGCAAGATCGGAACATCCAAACACAAAGGGATTTAATGGGTTGGAACCGCGACCCGTTGCTTAAAAAGTCGTAAGAACCTTGGTATGTGACTACGCCACAATCAATTGCAAAAAAATGATTGATAAGTCGGAGTGAACGCGCGGAATCAACCGTTATATTCGAAAAGTTCTTAAAGAACCAAAGAGAATAATCTCAATTTAATCATCAAAATTCTTCCATCAAAATCACCCATATCGGCATCCAATTTATAACGTCTAAGAAGACTCCTTTTTGACAAGGGGACTCCTACCTAAACTATAATAAGGAAATAAATAAATAAGAAAATTATAATCATAAAGAACTCTAAAATAATAAAATACAATAAATATACAATAAAAACGTGTATAACTAATTTAAATAGCTTGATCTTCAAGTCGTCTTCTCGATCACCCTTCTAAACTAGCGTAGACATTTGACTGTGCACGTCCAAACACTTCCAGCAGGATTTCGCCACTGTTTCATTTCGAATATCTCTTTGGTCAAAACATGAAATTTGTATATCTTTCAGTTAGCTTTCCAACGCATTGTGAAGCACCTTAAATGGACTTTGGATGAGAGAGATACAAGCCGAATCGTAAACTCTGCCAGAATCGTACGGAACTTTGAGGATGCATGAAATTCGACTTGTCCAACGAATTTCCCTTTTCCTTTTTTTCCAATTCCAAACCATGGACATCTCTAATATTTTATTCAAGCCTTTCTTCTCCAAGGAAAACTCGAATAGCCACTGTAAACTCGTACGCTTGCGCTTCTTCCATTTCTTCATCTTTGAGCTTGTTAGGATCGTATCATACTCCCCCTCTTTCAAAGGATTCGTCCTCCAATCCGAACAAATATCTAAAGGAGCATATAGAAACCATCTTTCACGATCATCTTCAAACAATTGTATCTCACATGGTCTAGAATTCTCCAAAGTGGATACACACAACATTCCCACTGAAGTATAGCTAGTCGCATTGGTACAACCAACTCCATCAATAATCAAACTCGAAGATACACCTTCATGGCACTGAGTAGGAGCAAGATAATCTTTGTGTATTGCATCACCATCTTCATCGGAAAGCACAATTGGAGTTTGCACTCCAGTTAGCTTGACGGTGACTTCGGTGCATGGATGGAACATATCGGTGGATTCCGTACGTTCACCCCGACTTATCAATCAATCTTTCGCAGTTGATTGTGGCGTCTTCACATGCCAAGGTTTTTGCTTCTTTATAAGCAACGGGTCGCGGTTCGACCCCTTTAATTCATTTCTTATGGATGTTCCGATCTTGGTTCCGCGTAAGGTATTTGGGTCTCATAACAAGTTCTACGGGGTTCTTATCAGTTGGTATAAGAGCCAACATCCAAAACAGGTTTCGCCTATCTTTAATTTTATTGTTGTGTCTTCTAGTATATCTCATATTTTCTTGAGTCGTGTTGTCTAGAGTCTTCGTCAAAAAAATATATAATAACAATAACAAAAAAAGTAATTCAAATTCGAATTTTGATGATTTTTTTTAATAGACTCCAGATAAAACCTAATCTAAACTCTAAAAACGCTCAAAACAAATAACAGTAATTCGAATTTGAATTTATTTTTTTATTATTACTATTATGATTTTTTTTTTTTTTTGACAAAGACTCTAGACAACACGACTCAAGAAAAGATGAGGTAGACTAGAAGACACAACAATAACATTAAAGATAAGCTAAACCTGTTTTGGATGTTGGCTCCGATACCAACTGATACGAACCCCGTAGAACTTATTAAGAGACCCAAATAGCAAGATCGGAACATCCAAACACAAAGTAATCGAAGGGGTGGAACCGCGACCCGTTGCTTATAAAGAAGTAAGAACATTGGTATGTGAAGACGCCACAATCAATTGCGAAAAATTGATTGATAAGTCGGGGTGAACGCACGGAATCCACCGATATATTCGAAAAGTTCTTAAAGAACCAAAGAGAATAATCTCAATTTAGTCATCAAAATTCGTCCATCAAAATCAACCATATTGACATCTTATTTATAAGGCCTAAAAAGACTCTTTTTTTCACAAGGAAAAGGACTCCTACCTAAACTATAATAAGGAAATTAATAAATAAGAAAATTCTAATCACAAAGAACTCTAAAATAATAAAATTTTAAATCTGATTTTCAGGCCATGATTGTGTGAATATTTCTTTTCCTTCTTTTTCCGTTTATTTATTAATTTTTTTAAATTATTTTATTTTATTTTTGTAATTTTCAATTTTTTTTTGTTATATTTTGACTAATATCGTAAATATCGTATCGTGATATGGCGATACAATACGATATCTCGCGATACTTACCAATATTTATGCATAGCCGATACAGATTATGAGTTGTATCGTTTTGATTGAGACTGTACCATCACGCGGTATCTCGCGAGTTTAACTACTATGCCCTAGATCAGTCGGCGATTTCGTAAATTAGATCGGTGTTTCAGTTAAAAAAGACGTTGACGCCTTAATTCGACTACTGAGACGGCGCCCTAATTTTACAGGAGAAGACGATTGTTGCATGGACAACTACAACGGCGGGGATTTGCAGTGGCATTTTGTTTTTTGTAAATTAACCTGAGAACGAGAAGTTTGTTGTAATTCATAATTTCATTTTTCCCTAAATAAAATAAGGGATTTTAATTTCAAACAAAAATATCACATTTGCTTACGCGTTCAAAATTCATTTTCTGTAGGCAGCTTGAAGCCCATTTTGATTCAGCCAACACCAATTCATATAAATAGATTATTCAAGATATGTATGTGTCTTTTTGACACACTCCATGCTGGAGACAAGTAAAACTCTATTTAGTGAAATAAACGCTGAAAAGATAAATAATGAAAAAAAAAAAAAAAAAGACTTTACAAATGCAATGTTGAATTCTTGTTCCAGAACCAATCCTATCAACCAAACGTAGTCTTCCATAAATACACCATGGCTAATAAATTCACAAAGAAACAGCAAATAATACATACCAGGATGCAAGTGTAAAATAAAAAATAATTTAAGCAAAAAAAGTACTCTCATGCACGCCGTGATAAAAAAACAAATCAAGAAAGAACCGACATTCACAAGCTCAAAAAAAAAAAAAGAAAAAAAACTCAAAAGGACTAAGAAACACCTTGGAAAGACAAGCGGTCTCGAAGAGTATCGAAAATTGAGGAAGCTGCAGCATTTTGTGCAAAACTTAGTTTCAATCGCCCAAGCAGTTCACCATCCTTGGCTTGCGATGCAGCATCTGCAGCTTCCTTGGCCATTCCAATTCTAGCATATGCCTGTTTGTAGAATTACCGACATGCTCAGCCAATTTATTTCAATAAATATAAAGCATTTAGGCTAATGACATATATTAATGAGAAAATTATCTAAAAAATTAGCATGTTGTTAATATAACATTCATATGGTTCGTTGGTAGTTGTTACCTCAGCTTTCTCTCTCGGATCAGCAAGTTTTGGAATATATTTAAGGGCTTCGTCTTTCTCACCTGCATCAACACAGGCCTCCACGAATGGGCGGTAACCTGCATATGACAATAGTATCAATATTGCTAATAACGTGAAAAGGTGGGATAGAAATATAGAACTCAATGCAGCTGAAATACAACAATTCTAAGAAAAATTACAAGATGGACAAAAGCCTGTGAATGTTCAGCATATTCAGACTTCGAAGCGATGGTTTCTTTTGGCTTATGGCACATTGAACAAGCATCGCATCAGAGGTCAACAGAGAAGTATGTACATTAGCAAGTGTGAAGGTCCAAAAAAAGAGGGCGTTGATCTCCTAATTGAGAAATCAGACGATCACAAAGCAATGGCACTTTAATATTCAAATTGCTTCATCCCACTAACAGCATCGCCACTAACATAATCTTTTAGATTCAACTAATATCAACCAAAAATTTCAATTTTACCCATATAATTGTAAGATTATTTTTCTATTAGGGTATTAATTATAACATTTTTAGATTTGCTTTTTCTCTACCACATCAGTACCTCATCTAATAGCACATCTCAGATTAGTAGTAAGAGAAAACGTCTATTATGTCTGTCTGTAAATTTGATGCTCAACATTGTTTCCATAAAAGTGGTCTTCGTATACGATCCTAAACTGTGAGATACGTATCGGTAGAATTACTAACCTTCTAAATTTTGTCCGACAAAGTAGGATTTCAAGAACTCTTTTGTTGCAAAAAATCTCTTATGCATTCTTTAATAATAGCATGGGGTATAACAGACATGATGTTATGATATTTGGCAAAATAATTCAGTGGCAATTTAGATATTTTATGACTTTATGTGTGATGTACCGTTGGTTGGAGGGGGATGAATGTAAATTTGCCACCAAGATACAGTTTTTTGTAATTTAGGCACTTGGGGTTTTTATTATATTTCCTATTTCTCATTTTCTTTTTATAGACGCGCAATTTAGACAATTTATAATTTTTGATAAGATGTTTGGTGGAATTTTCGTTTGAGGGGTTAAAAGGTAAATTACGCAAACAAGAGGGTTTTTTGTAAGCCTTACCATATCTTTTACATGGTTTATCTCATCTAAGTTACATAAAAACATATTTCTGCATTATTCATGCAACATATCGATATATTCATCATGTGCATACGAAGACTAGGTGACAGCTGACATGAGTTCAGAGGAAACAACAGACAAATAAGACCAAGATAACGAATATTGCAAAATAAACTAACTCAATCATAAACACTAACCAATTGGTGGCCTCTTCTCTTTTGAAAATTTTTCTAGTGCATCCCAGTCTCGGATTGTAGCCAGAGCAAAGACTTTAAGCCAATACCACCTCTTCTCCGAAACCTAAATAATTTTACAATATTTCAGAGAATTCATTTGCTGAAAATTAAATGTGTACAGCCATACACACGTTTGCATACGTGCAAACAAGAGTTCTCAGATTTTATTATTTGTTCATTTGAACATGCTTGTTACTTTATGGGAACAATATATTAAATTACAAACCTTAAATTCAACTTTAACTTTATTGGCAGCCCGATGATTTCCCAGGACAATACATGTGCGAATTGTGTCACTGATACTTGAATCTACAAAGATGGCCTGCTTCGTAGTCACCTCTAATTCATGTTGAATTCTGCAGTTCATTGCAAATGGTTAGCTGCGAGCTCATGAGAAAGGCAAATGCAAAACTGTATCCAAAACTTGATCAAAGTAGATTGACTTGATTCAATGACAAGTAGCTAATTTTTCCATAAGTTCATATCACTAAATTTTACGAGGCAAAAATTTGCACAAGCACAGCATCACCTCGTCCGAGATTAAGGCTCTGTTCATGGATTTTGAAATGAGGAAAATGAAAATGCAAAAGTGAACGAAAACAAAGAATTTAAAAATCTCTAGTATGTTTGGTTCTTAAGGGAAATGGTGCTGAAATTGATTTTGTGAAAATTTATTTTCTTTTCCCAAACAACCGTGTTTGTTGAGGTTTTGTGATGGAGGTGAACTACTCCCATAGTTGGCTGTTTTCTAGGGCGGAGAGGAATTGAAATTGAAGAAGATAGAAAACCTGCTAGCATTTACGTGTAGTTTTTTTCCTAAACTTTTTTTGAGGAATATGTATTTTACTTGTTTTAGTCACAAAATATTTTCACCTTTTTTGCCAGATCATTTTATCTAGTCTTTCACATCCTAACCAAAATGAAATCTATTTTACCTGGCTCTTTCATATTTTCACTTAGGATTTTCTTTGATCCAAAGAAAGCCTAAGAGAAGAGGGTACAAGGAAAAAGTAGCATGGTTCTTAATATAGCAATGAGTGCAGGGATCTGGAGACCAAGAAAAATATGATCTTGATGACATGGTGGATAAAATATCTAGAAATTCTAGAAAGTTAGGGAGCTGAACAGAAATTTAATTCTTCAATAAAAATCACAAATCTCAATAAAATGATCACCTTAACAACTTTGCATGTTCCTCAGCTGCCTTAGACTCGTAGATGTGCTCCTTTGTTTCTGTAAAAAGATTATGGGCCTTTTCAACCAGCTTTATGCGTGGACCATGAAGAGGAGTTCCTTTGCTTGCCATTGGATTCTTTGCTAGTTCCCAAGATTCTTTCCACAAGAGAAAGGCTACATCCTGCAAAATCATAAAACATTTTATTAAGGTAGGAACTTTATAAGAGAAAAGGTAAAGAAAATCTAGATATGAAAAGGTATGTGTAGTGCACCAACTTTGTACAATAGAACAAAAAAAGGTCTCCAAGATAACTGTAGTGGAATAATTTTAATCTAGAAATATAGAGAACTATGCTGGAGTTAGACCAGAGAAAGACTGTTCAACGTCGAGTAACTAAATATTTATCAAAACTCTATTCCAACTGAACCAAAAATCCCTTATGGGTTATAACAAATACAAAGCAGAATCAGACAAGGAAATGAAGATGTAGGAATACAGGAGAGTCAGTTTACCATGAGCCATTTTGTTGATCGAGAAATACAGATCAAACCAATTATCATACTAACATTTTAAACAAGTAGATACAGAATTTACTAAAGGCAGGAGTAAAGAATCGATAAATCAAGTAAACATTAACTAACCTGAAGCTGTCCAGTGGACAGAAAGAAGTCCTTCAAGAACTCGTGTTTATAGCATCTGGGAGAAGATCAAAAAATAAGAAAAATATACTGCTGTGAAATTGAGGTTTCGCTGCCCTTATACATATGGTATTTTGGGAGGATCAGTAGTCTCCCTACCGTGCATAAGTAACAAAGAGATCACGTGCAAGAGGTCTAGCTTGTATCATTCCAAAGAACTCTAATGGCGCTTTCTGCAATGTTACATGTAGCAGTCAATGAACTAACCAAGAAATATCATCTTTCATTCCATAAAAATGCTGTCAGCCTAAAAGAAGGTCTAGAAGCATTTAATTAATCTTCACCTTATGCCAGATGTGAAACAGAACAAGATATACGAGATCGGTATCACCACTTTCAGTAGCCTTCATAAGTGCAGTATCTTCTTCTCCAATGCTTAGCAAGAGAGGAATCTGACAGATATCAATAGTGTTTCTTATAAACAAGTTCCACAAAATTGTCCAACTAGTATTACTTCTAAAATAAAGATATAAATCAAACCCATATGTAAGACAAAAACGACATGAAAGAAAGAAAAAACAACTATACCTGTTTGGCTGAACGCGGCTCGTGTTCAACTAGCATGGCTGCTAACTTTCTACGGCCACTCTTATCAGCATGAGAAGCAACAGCTGCATAAGATATCCCTTTGCATATCTTCAGCTGATATTACAGAGCCAATATCTCAGACATAAATATATGCAGTTTCACAAGTGGAAAAATAAGATTTGAATTAGGGATGCGGCAGGGTGTGGTCCCTTGGAATGTAATACTTCGACCTAACCAAACACTATCAGGACATTTGCACAGAGTTCAATCTGGAACTAAGGTAAGCAGGTTTGTCGAGTTTGATTCTATGGCATTCGAGTCGGATGCTGGGTAATTGATCAAATTTGAATATTCCCCCATCATTTATGTTAACTGAGTATTGACTAAATTAAATAGAAACACTACAACCAATCTACTGAACAATAAAAGTGTCACAATATTTTGAAGTATGTGAACATGAAAACCTGTACTAGTTATTTAATCTGTTACATTTTTGTGCCCTCGCAACTTATATCCCATTTGTAGTTACATCCCAAATAAATAACGAAAGCAAACAAGAACATAAGATGACAAAGTATGTTAATTGATATCCATGGTGCACGACAAAAGCCAATTGAGATTGGGCGATTGAACTTGCTTGGATTTGGTAACTAGAAATTTTATCAATAAAAACCTGGCCAACAATAACATGCAGTGCAATACCAAAAAAAACATAATATTTGAGAGGTGGTTACAACCTGTTATGGAAACAGGAAATGTTAGGACCGGGAGGAGCAGGTATTATGTAATGGAGATAAACTAACCTTGTCAAGCAAGATTTCAAGAAGAGTGGAATCAGGAATGGCCGAGGATGATGATATCTTTGTACAAGTCCAGTGCATTAATACGACTTCCTATTAAAAACCCCAAAATGATAATAGTGTCGGCGCAAATGCAGGATCAGTTAGTTCGTCAGAAAACAAGATAGTTCATCTCTAAGTTTGTCTCTTCAATTTTCAGTAAACAGAAATAATAGTGACAAATTTATCTTAGTGTTTCGGCAAAAAAAAAAATTCATATACTTACCTTTATTACCATTTTTTAAAGGAAACAAGACAGTATAGCATTATTATTAGCATGGAAAAAATATACCCATCAAAATTGCTATTTCTTACAAGCATTTTAGCTGACAACAGATAACTTCTAGCATCTACATAAATTCAAAGAAGTCTCGCCTGGCATTCATCAAATAAACATGCTGAATGTGAGCTGCAAACTCAAAAACAACTGTTTTCTTTTGTAACAGATGTCCAAATGGGGAAGAGATGGAGTTATTTTGAGATTAAAGTACAGGCGCAGAAAACGCAGACCCGCGAAGTACTCAAAAAAACTGAAGATATAAATATAATCTAGCAAAACAAGATCTCAAAATGACCCTGACACCGGAATTAATCGAAACTGTTCAGACTACACATCCAAACATAGACACCCACGGCTAATGCTGAGTCAACTAGTTTGAAGAATCCAGAAATCCCATTGTGGAACACAGCTCAATTTTACACATTTTCTATTTATTTTTTTTCTGAAATTTCTCCGAATCTACACATGCACAATGTGGGACAGTGACTTGTAGCAAAAAAAAAAAGGTAATTGATCAACTAAATGTTCTTGTCGGTAAAAGCACACGTCTTTGTTTTCTGATCCCATACAAGCAATTTCATAAAAAAGGCATACCAATATCCAAATTGAGCTCGAACAAATAACTATATTCAAATAGTAAAATTACAGTCTAGTAAGTTGGACAGCACTTCACCAAGAAGGCGACCAGACATTTCACTTTCAACAGTGACCGCAACAATTTTAATTTATGACTTAATTTACTTAATGAAAATAATCCGGTTGCTTGTAATGGTTAAACAACTAGAATCTGGCTATTCCTGATCCGTTGAAAACATGCATACATCATGCAGAGGAAAGAAAAAACATGATGCTAATGAACAAAGAACAATGTAATGGTATACCAAGTGAACGATTTAAGTGAAAGAAATCAGAACTGCCAAAGAGACTACCACTATAAAGAATGAAGAAACAGGCTGAGATCAAGTAGGATAAAGCTAAATGACTTACTTGGCTCATCGCAAGGTATTCTGATACCCGTAAAGCTAGAAGGTGCTTGTTAGCATTAATCAATCGGTTAACCAGAACAGATGGAGTAAGCAACTGTAAGGAAACATAAGAAGAATAAGAATAAACATAATATTTTAGGATGGGAAAATTAGTAGTTAAAACTTCATGAATGAAGGTGAGAATTTAACACCTTGTACTGCTGAATGCTTAGAGGAATACCGATGTCCACATGACGCACAGCATTTAAGACGCGCAGCGTTTTACACATCTCCTGTATGCTGTCATGCTGAAAATGGCTGCCAAAGCCAACTGGATATCATTACCAAGAAAAAAATCAGAAAATAATGTTCATTTAGACTCATGAAAAGATAATGTGACAGAACTCATGCATGAAATCATTTCTGCACCAGCAATTAGTTCACATAAAAAATCAGAGAATACATGCTGGCAAGAAACTCTATACCAACACAAGTCCCAACCTACAAAAGAAAGATTCACTGAAATATTTCACACATCACCAAAAATGTATTTTAGAACAGGTAGGCTTTTCAAGATAAAATTGCCAATGAAATATTAGAAAAACTTGCGGTACTAATGCATTATATAGAATCAGATCGTAAACTTTGTGCTATCAAATTAATTTGACATTCCATTTTGTATCAGCAAATAATCATTTCACCACTTTCGCCTCTACAAGTTAAAAGATAGGTAAGCCAAAGAAGTGAACTGCTAGGATATCCAAGTTTGGCATTTCAAGTTCATGAAAGGAAGTTATAGATCAATCCTACTAGGTAGATGCTAAAAGAAAGAAGCAACTTAGAAGTCATAAGCATTACAGAGAACATAACAAAGAAAGGAGACACAACTTTTAGTTTTGAATTCCTTGCATATTAAATGGTTATTATTTTTTTAGATATCAATTATGAAAGAAGAGTTACAACAATCTTCATAAAAGAATTAAACCATGGGTAAAATGCCATTTTATTACTATTTGATGAACCAAATTAGGAAAAAAAAAAAAAAAACACGGAACCTAATGAAAGAGAACCTAGATTCAGTAACAAAACCTATAGTTCTTGTCCTTTCAAGTACATTTTTACCATTTTAAGAACATGTAATGTGAACTTATGCATTGTATACCAATGCAACTTTCAGCATGCATAAATAGGCCGATTATATCTTGATCTTGTTTTCCTCTCCACATTGTAAGAAACTGCACTCCTCTCCCAAAATATAATGAAAAGATAAACATACACATGAAAATCACATAATTAGAAGGATGATCAACTCAAAAGAATTCAATTGGTATCATGCCAATCATGAATAATAATAATAATACTAAGAAAAATTCAATAAAATCAGAAAAAGGAGAGACGCGTACAGTTCTTCAAGCTGAATGAGGAAGGAGAAAACAGTCCAGGCAAAGAATTCATACATATACATGAATAAATAAGAGCATCAACCTACCTAGAAAACGTTTGTCCATAGCTCGCAGCTCTCAGTAGGGTTCGTTGTTGTGAAATGTCAAATTCATAACCAGCAGCATCGACACAAGCCTCAACAGCTTCCGGCAGTGAAGAGCGGATCAATCTTAAATTTTCATCAGCCTGGCAGATTATAGAGGTTCAGTACTCCCTAAATATCATATTTATAATAGTTTAGACTTTAGACAGAATTTCTTAAGGGAAGCTTACATCCAGATTTAATCAGCCTGCCATAATCATGAACCTAATTCTCTACAATTATTTAGCAATTGAATGCTAGCAATAACAAGCTCATCGTTATCATTCCAAAATTACGACTGGTTATAATGGCAGCGAAGGTAGTGGTTAAGAAATTAAATGGACCTCTTCTAATTAATGCCAGTTTATCATTTAGTAGGAGGGGATTTGCTGTGAAGCATATTGTAACACAAACATGTAGGTGAAGAGAGTAACTGAGTGAGTCGAAAATGCTACATTGTCACAGATCAAAGATATCCTGTACGGCTGTACCCAGTGTTTGCATTTAAAGTGTCGGATAAACAAATGGTCCTACTACAAACAAAAATAGAGCCGGAACAGAAACAAATAATAATAAAAAAATATTTCCAATACATATCTTCTGCTTCACAATTAACTACCATTTCATAAATATGTTACATATCTGTACAGTTACAACTTACATATTTTTAAGCTGAGTCGTGACTATGAGAAGCTTTTACATGCGATAACTTCTAATCAAAATTCTCATAACAAGTTTATTAGAGGATAATGTTAAATAAGATAATCAAAACGAATATCCAGACATGCATAGGTTCAATAACAAAAGGAGACAATTAAGCATGGAGGGCCATTGTGTGAGAACAGCATCTAGATAGCTGTCTCAAGATGATGACAATTTCCATGAACAGAAGTAGATTTTACCTTTGCACTTCGCCTGTCAAAATGCTCCAGGGCATCATACAATAAAGCAGAAGGTAAGGTGCTTCCAATCTGAAAGATAGATACTGTAGAGTCTGGAACTCGATGTAGAAACTCCATGTTTGTGTTAGAAAGTATCCGCACCCCGTCACATTCTGGGACAAGAATAATCGGCTCATCATAAATATAGCGTACTGGTTCCTCATAAGGGCCCACCATCAGTAGCATATCATCCCAGTAAAGTAAGACACTGTCCAATCCACACCAAGCTAGTTGGTCAGGAGGAAGAGCAGACTGCACGCATATAAGTAACACAAAAATCGGTTAGGCACTTAGACTATAATATGCAGTTTGAAGTTCTCTAACAAGAGATGGATAGAGGAACAATTTAACAAGTTAGAATTATATGCCAAAGGTAGTATATAATATGATCAATATACTTAACTTTCCCCACCCAAACAACCTGATGAAGCTATAATATTTCCATTCTTTAGTCTGTGACTGCAATCTTATAGTTGATTGCCAAGTAAGTATGAACAATTTGAGTTTGTCTATAGTAGCATCATTTTTGTTTTTTCACTGACCAATTCGAAATGACAATTTCAAAATCACTTTACTTTGTCGTGAACATAGTCCAAAAAAGAAGACTGCTTCAAATGTTAATGAGACTTGGTGCTCTTTAGGATGACCCAAAGAAAAAATCTAAAACCATCAATATTTAGTGGTTTTTAACTCATGTGCCTCATGACTAAAACAAAGTTAACCTCGAAAGAGATGTCCAAAGGAAGTCCAAATTGCTATTAGACAAGACTACTCAAGAAATATTGCTTCGTTCAAGGTTGAACTGAAGAAAGAGACATAAAAATCAACATCTTATACTTCTTTTGATAGCTGGAAACATTGCAAAAACAGTGTCCTATGTAATTGTCTGAGGATGGCTGGCAATACAGGCACCAAGAAGCATTGAAATCACAACGCAAGAAACTGCTGGCTTATTTACAGTTCTCCAACATTACAATTAAGTCACTCGCGGGTACTTTAGCTTAGTCAACAGAGTAAACAAATTCACAACCCTTTACCACTAAACCACATATCAAGAGTCATACCTACACAATGGTATACTGAAATAATTTAAAGTTAGCAATCAAATTAAGTCTTAATATGGAAGCACATTATCAGGTTTACCTCACAAGCATAATCGATGATAACATCTGAAAAGTCCGTAGACATGACCAGAAGCCTCCCATCATGCGTGAACGAGGCAACAAACTCCCCCTTCCTAGAAACAACCATCTTCTGCAAAGGCCCAATCCCTTCGGCAAGCGACTGCACCCCATCCTCTTCAACCAACAACACATGGTCTCCAACCCCTAGCAGCACCTCCACATCTCCCGATTTCGTGTACTGTGGCTCAATCACCGCCATACAATGGGGAAGCTCCTCCAGATTACTATCCGCCAGTTTAACAGTTTTCGGGGTCTTGAAATCGGGCACCGCAAAAATCTCGAACGCCTCATTGATGCAAACCACGCCGCTCCCCCAAAAGACGCACTCTACAACGCTGTTGGCGAAGCACTCTTTACCCAAGGAGAAGGTGCTGACTAACTCGGCGTGTATATCGTACGAGTAAACGGTGCCGTCCTGCGTGATGCAGACTAGGGTTAGATCGTCGGTCCACGAAATTCCGATGAGTCGGCCGCCAGGGTTCTTCCACACGGTTTCGGAGATGAGGCGGCCGGAGGAGGTGAAGATGCGGAGCTTGCGGAGTGCTGACTCCGCGTAGAGCTGGACGATCTTCGCGTCGTCGCGGATCACGGCGATGGGGCCGCCGAAGGGGGCGCAGGCGATTTTGTTGCGCGTGAGGTCGACGTTCTTCCACTGCATCTGGTAGAGCTCCGGCTTCCGGTAGTACCGGTTGTAGAGGAGCTGCCACTCCGCCGCCACCGAAACTCCCGCCATTCCGACGAGAATAATATGAGATTGGGTATCGTTTTAATTTGCTGAAACTTCAATTATATCAATTTAATTTTCCTATTTATTAGGTCGGTATGGATGATGGATCTACAGATATTAAAGTCGAAGAGGAAAAATATTTATCAAAAAAAAAAAAGTCGAAGAGGAAAGAAGAAAAGGAGAAGGGAATGGAGATGGTGGGGTCCGTTGACGTTGTACCGCTACATGCGACTTCTTATTAATTGTCACTACATATATATATATATATATGAGTAAACTGCAAAAACTACCCCTGTATAATCTCGAAATAGCAAAAACCCCCCTGTGATAAATAAACTAGCAAAAACCTCCCCTGTGAAATTATTTAAATAGCAAAAACCCCCCTATGGAACTATTTGAGGGTTGACTTGATATAAAAAGACACAAATACCCATGGAGTCTTGCAATTAATAAATTCTTATATTTTATAAATATTTTAATTATTTTATTTAAAAAAGAATCAATTTAGTTGTTTACTATTTTTTTTTAATTTCGAAACAAACAAATTAAAAAGAATAAATATACATATAATATGTATATATATAAATACATTTTGAGGGACAATTTTGTCATTTCAAGTCTAAAAAATCAGCTAGGGGGGATTCTGCCTTTGACTAAATTTCACAGGGGGGTTTTTGCTAGTTTATTTATCACAGGGGGGTTTTCGCTATTTCGAGATAACACAGGGGTAGTATTTGCAGTTTACTCATATATATATATATGGGGGGAGAAATACACATCTATCAAGTTTGCACTAATTTCATATTTAGTCCACAATGTTCAAAACAAAACACATTTGATATCTTATGTTTTAAAAATTCAACATTTTTTGTCATTTCGGTCAATTTTTCGTTAAAACTAATGGAATTAAGCGTGAGCCCATTATTAACTTAACTAACGGACTAAGGATAAATTGATGAAAATGACCAAAAGTGTAAAAATTTTTGAAACATAAAGAACCAAATGTGTTTTTGTGAACCTACCAAATATGGAATCGGTGCAAACTTGAGATTAAAACTGTATTTTTCCTATATATAACCCAAATATACTTATATTCTGAATTTAATTGTGTAATAATTAGTTACTTGTATTCTATTGCGATAAAACATGATTTTATGAGCAGCAATTAGAAAAAAACAAAAAACAAAAAAATCTTATTAGAATTAAGGACTATATATATATATATATATATATATATATATATATATATATATATATATATATATATATATATATATATATATATATATATATATATATATGTAGGCATAGGTCATTTGACTCAAAAAAATAATATAAATAAAATAAAATAATTAGTGTATAGACATAATCACCCTCAATTAATAAGAAAACAAATCTCATATATTTTATCTCTCGGGAAAATTACAGTTTATGTCCCTAAACTTTACCACTAAAACGATTTATGTCCTCAAACATTTCAATCCACGAAATATGTCCTCAAACTTGCCACTTTTGATCACTTTATGTTATGTCGTTAACGTCGGCAGCTAACTCCGACGGAAATAGCACGTGTGGCTCACGTGATGTCTATGTGGCAGTTAAATGTGACGTGGAATAATATATTGAATATTAAATGTTGACGTGGCACAAGAATATATTAATTTCCTCTAACTCACCCTCCCAAATCTCAAATCTCAAATCACGTTTCATTCCCATTCCCAAAATTTCAGTCCGATCTGCATTCATGCTCGAGCCCATACTAAAATCGAAGTCATAAACCCATAAAAAATCCAAACATTCTCACATTTGAAGAGTTTTTTCCTTCTCAAAGAACAGCAGATTCACGTGCAAACACATGCCTGCAATCGAGAGGAAGAAGGTAAACGCGACTCCTCTTCTGGTTATGAAAAAGATTTTAGAGGAAGCTTTAATTCTTCTCCCAACTCCGTTTCTAGAATGTTGGGGTCGTGTGATTCTTCACCTGCTGATGCTTGTGCCCCTTGTTGTCTCGATGAAGCGAGCACAAGGATGGTGAAGATGGCACAAATTCTACCCAACTCAGCAGTTTCAGAACCTGCCCAGAAGGTGTAAGACAAAATGTCTGAAGCAATTGCGGAAAAAAAAAAAAAACATGCAGCACTTGTCAAAGCTGCATATAATTCTTTTTTCGCCAAGAATAGAGTGCCCAAGAACGGATTCCAGCTCCCCGACTTCCCCAACAAAGTGGAAGAAGACATGATATTTGAGCCCCAAGATAAAAGTGAAATCGAGAAAACATTCGGCATTTGTCTATTGGGCTATTTTGCTGGTAAAACACCATGAAAAATGGCCATGGATTCACAGACGATTATGCTATTTTCAAATTTCACATCAATTGAAGGATTCGAAATGGGGTTTTAGAGATTGGATTTACGAGTTCATTGGGGATATGGAGAATCAGTGATTTTAGAATAGAAATAGGGGAGGAGAATGACGTGTCGCTCCATATCACGTTTTGTCGACCAAGTTGGCACTGGGTGTTGTACAGCTCGACATTTAACGGCCACATAGACGTCACGTGAGCCACGCGTGCTATTTCCGTCGAAATTAGCTGCCGACGTTAACGGCAGAACATAAAGTGATCAAAAGTGGCAAGTTTGAGGACATATTTGGTGAATTGAAATGTTTGAGGACATAAATCGTTTTAGTGGTAAAGTTTAGGGACATAAACTGTAATTTTCCCTCCAATCTCACGTTTCTCTCACCCTATATTTAATCTCTCATCTCTTTCTCTCCTCTGTGTCTCACGCCTTTCTCCATCTCTCGAGCTCTCTTTGTTTTTCTTTTTCTTTTTTCTTTACTTTTTTGATAAAGTAATATTATAGAGAAGGAAAAAAAATAGGGATTTTTTTAGATTATGAGATGATTTCTTGGTGTAAGAATTAAAGAGGACAACAAAAATTCAGAAATCCAAAATCATAGCCAAAACTCAACATTGTGTCTCCCGTATGTAGAACATTCCCATCGTTTTTGTTGTTAGCAACTTCCGTTTGAAAGTTGGTTTAACTTCGTTTGTTGTTTGAAGAATTGCGTTTGATGTTGAGATTCGATTCCTCTGGTTTACAATTTGCAAGGTATGTCTTAAGTTACATTTTACAAACATTTTGTTTAATGTTTTTTTGTTGTTTGCAAATTGTTCCATAAACAATTTTTTCGTAAATGTTTTTAATGATGCTGATTTTTTTTATTTTTTTTCAGTCTGCTGTTTGCATTTGACCAGGTTATAAGTAGTTTATTGCTTGTAATTCAATAATTGAAATTTTGCTTCCAAGACCGCAGAGGTGATTGTTCAATATGAAGCCCTTCTTGAAGATTAAGACTTGGAGATATTGACATCTCTTTTTGAATTATAATTTGTAAATTAATGTCGATGCAATTGTCTTTTCTCTGAATAATATTTCTTGTTTAAGTAGTTTCACAATAAATAGTAGCTTCCATTGCTTAGATTAATGATTATGAGATGTTTAAATTTTTTTGCACACTCTCAAGACGAAACTTGAATATTTACATTCGTATACATAATGAATTATAAACCATGTTCAATATAAAAGCTATGTTAACGAAAAAAATAGGAGAGTTAAAAAAAAATGGGAACTAATTATTTCTTGAAGTTAAATACATGAAATAAGACAAAACATCGATAATATGAATTAGAAGGAATAACTTTTTTTATGAAGTTCACGACAGAGAAAAAAAAAATTAATCGGCAAGAAGATAAAAGAAATTGAAGAACTGAGTTCGGAAGGTGACTGTCTTTATACAAACAAATTGAAAAGGGCAATATTGGCAATTACTACGTCTATCCAATCAGAACTACAAACCAAACGTGAGAATGATCCCATCAGTTGTATTAGCGAACACAATCCGTTCAACCAAACACGAGATATAGCATTTCTTGATTTATCCAAACAGTGCAATCCTAGATGGACTGTGTAATACCATCCCATCCCACCATCCGCACCAAACGAGGCCTAAGTGAACTATTTTCAATATGTTAACTATTTTTTTCTCATAATATTTTCACATGGCATTTGTTTTATATCGTATCTGAAGTATCTCTTTTTTCAAAAAGATGTTTTGATTGAAGAAACCTATGCCTCGGCTATAAGAAGTTGCCTTGGGTTGAGGCCATAATTTTGTAGGGTAAATTACAAACACCCCTGAGGTATGGTCAAATTACAAAAATCCCCCTCTTGTTTAGATAATTACATCTACCCCCCCCCCCCCCCCTCCTCCCTCAACTATGATTTTTTCTTACACCTCCACCCTTATGATGCCAAATTCAACATAATCATCTAGATTCCGTAAAATGTGCTCTAGTTTGTACTCGTTTTGTGTAAAAATATAGTTTCCGATGCACCACAAACTGATATATACAAGCTAAAAATCACATATTATGATCATCTTGCTTCATAATGTAGAATTTGAATGGGATAAAACGGGTACAAAAGTGATAATATTCCATATAATCTCGAAGATTCCACTAAATTTGAGGAGTTGAGGGGTAGTTGTAATTATCCAAACAAGAGGGGTGTTTTTGTAATTTGACCATACATCAGGGGGTGTTTTTGTAATTTGACCATACATCAGGGGGTGTTTGTAATTTACCCTAATTTTGTATAATACTCTATGTCTTACTATGTAAATTTAATATTGTGGGTGACTAAATGTTGTTTTGCCCTGACATGGCTTGATATGTGACGAATATGTATGACGACACATTTTGGTACATGAGCGTGACAGAGCCATGCACATTAAGGGACCAGATATTCCTTGTATGATGAAAAATCGGTAATGTTCAGCAGTTCGGGAGAGGTTTCATCTGTATTTCAGGCACATATTAAACCGGATGATGGTACTTGCCCATTGTTGTACGAATTCTATATTTCAAATGAAAAAAGAATGTAACATTTATAAAAAAATATAGTAATTTTTCAGTTGGTAAAAAATGAGTGTTGACAACTTCAGTGAGAGAGGACCTTCAATCACAACACGCATCTCTATGTCATGTGGTTTAACCATTTCAACCGTCCAATTTCAAAACAAATATACATTAACGTCGTTCATCCAAAATAGAGTTTGATCAAGGTCGTCTTTTACAACAAAGCCTAAAATTCATGTCATGCAAATCTAACGTTTGAGTCAATTCATTCAGCTTTCTTCGACAATAAAGTTTACCCAAATTACCAATAGTCACATGTCTCAACTTCCTTAACTCTCATTTCAACTTAAGGGATATATCTCTAATAGACCTTGATAGGGGTGTAAATGGGACGAAACATGTAGATATGATTTTTTTCAAGAAAAAAAAAGTGAAAAATGATTTCGATTTCCTTTCCAAAAAATTGAAATTAAAAATTTATTTCCGATTTCAGAATGTCTCGGAGTCGGAGGAATTTTAGATATTTCAGAAATTGCATTAATTTTAAAAGAAAAATTGTTCCAAATTCAAATATAGTGGTAATTTTCATAAAAAAAAATTCCAGAATTATCTAATTAAATGCAAGAAAATTCAAAAGAGGTTCAACAAAATGCAATATATCCATTGAAGTGCAACAAATAGTTTCTATGAAAGAACAAATTCAAGAAAATGTTTCTTATACCAACTAAATTTTAGAAATTTTCGAATCGAATTCGGCAGAAATAAAAAGTTTCGTCCCGATTTCTACCTCAGTCCCCGAAACAAAAGTCAATGTCCTCCTGATGCCCTATTAGAAATCTGAAAATAAATTTTATGTTGGATTTGCAAAAAAACTCTAATTGTTTATAAGTTTTTGCAACTCCTGTTATTAATTAAAGGTTGTATAATATGAGGAGAAAACACATTTTATGTTTCCCATGGACTCTATGAATTTCACTTTTCTTGTAAGCAAGGACTTTGGGTAAATTTCCCAATAAAGAAGAAAGAAAAGAAAGAAAAAGTGTATTTCATTGATAACCCTAACATAGAATTAAGGAAAAAAAAAAAAAAAAAAAAAAAAAACCCGAATGTAATTGGAGTTTTATTCCATCAACATGGTATAGGTTCCGTGTCCGCCGTGTTGGAATCCAGATCAAGCCAATTCCAGCCTAAAAACGTACGGCTTACGTCAGCAAGCCCTCTTGTCACAAGGAAAATATGACCGTTATAGATCTCCCACTATCTAAAATTTAAAAAAAAAAAAAACAAAAAGCAGGCGTTTTCAAAATCGGAGCAATAATTATTTAGCATTAGATTTTGTTTCACACCTTAAATCCCCCACCACATTAACAATTTCAGGGAAGCCTCCTTATACAACAACCCACTTCACCGTATTCTCTCTCTATCTCTCTCTCTCTCTCTGTTTCTCTCTCTTCATTTTGATTTTTAAAGATACAGTTTCATCTTAGCAGAGCTGATCAGAAATGGGGAAGAGGGGAGCAGATGAGATGAAAAATCAGGTTTTGCAGGTGCTGGAAATAACAAATCAAGATTGCGAAAATCAAAAGCAACAGCATCCTTATGCTTTTCATGTATCTGGTCCTCGCAACGTTCCTTCTATTAACTGGAGGGATCTCATCAACTCCACTTGGTCAGCCAGCCCTCTTTTTTCTCTTTCTATTTTTATTTTATTTTTTCAAATTAGATGAGGTTGAATTTGTGGGTTTTATAAGCACACTATTTGAATTCTTGTTTATTTCCCAAATTGAGCTTTGAATTGTGTGTGTGTGTGTGTTTCCGATTGTTATATGTGATCTTGTTGGTTTGTGTGGATGTACAATCATCAGGCTGCACGAATTTGACTTGTCTTACAATACATACGGCTATGATCTCGTTTCCAATTTTTTTTTTTTTTTTTTTAATTTATTTATTTATGGAATTTCATATGATGATTGAATTTGATTATAGCTCTTACTCGAACTAGTAACGTGGGCATTCTGCTAGTTTTCTATAGCCATTAGGCTGCAGATTCGATAAATATGTATATTTAGACTCTTTGGTTGAAGGATTTAAAAGACGAAAAAAGTGAGACAAAGGAAAAAACAAAAACCCGAAAAGAAACAAAAAATGAAGCTTGTTTTGTTTTCCATCGAAAGCAATGTGGAAAACCATTGGAGTGGAGAAAGGAATGACCAAATTATCCTTTTCTTGGGGCTCTTCTCTCATTTTCCCCTTTGTGAGAAACAGAGTTTTCCTCAATTTTTATTAAAGGAATATTCCCTAGCATATTCGTTTCGATATTCTGCATTTTTGTTTCGGCTTCGTTGTGCAATTACTCCAATTATTCATGTCATATGATAGCTTAAAATGCCAATGAATTCTATAGTTCATTTCCACTTCTGTGATGATGTAAAAAAAATAGAATCCTATATACTCGCGTAATTTCTTGCTTTTCTCCATCCCGTATGTTTTTGTTTTGGTTTTTAAAATCCGACACACGAAATGTAGGCATCCAACATATGAGTCCTCGACTTTTTTCCTCAATTTCAAGAACTGACATACAATTTTTTTTTTCTATAAAAAATGGAAAAAAAAAAATCAACAGGAAAGATGGCAACTACAAAAGGACTGTAATCGCCTGCTTCATACAAGCAGTCTACTTGCTCGAACTCGACAGGCAAGAACACAGAACCGACCAAATTGACGCCCTAGCCCCTAAATGGTGGACCCCATTCAAGTACAAACTCGTCGAAACGCTCATCGACCAAAGAGACGGTTCCATATTCGGTGCAATACTCGAGTGGGACCGATCTGCCGCACTGTCGGACTTCGTACTAATGCGACCCAGCGGTGCACCGAGGGCCGTTTTAGCTCTCAGAGGGACCCTCCTCAAGGGGCCCACAATCAGACGCGATATCGAGGACGACTTACGTTTCTTGACATGGGAAACCCTAAAAGGGTCCGTTCGATTCACCTCTTCTCTCGAGGCCTTGAAAATAATCTCCGAAAAATACGGGAGCAGTAACGTATGCATCGCGGGACATTCTTTAGGAGCGGGGTTTGCTCTACAAGTCGGAAAATCGTTAGCTAAAGAAGGGATTTTTGTGGAGGCGCATTTGTTCAATCCACCCTCGGTTTCGTTAGCTTCGAGCTTGAGAAACGTGGGGGAGAAAGCTTCGATAATGTGGAAGAGGGTTGTTCGATCGATAACAGTTCCTTCGAGTGGTGAAAATTCATCGAATTCTGACGAGGGGGCGGAGTCTTCGACGGTGTTGGGGTCGAAGAGGTGGACCCCACATTTGTACGTGAATAATAGCGATTATATTTGCTGTTATTATACTGATCCGGTGGAGCCCGAAAGCGGAGATGGTGGTGACAAGGAGAATGTGAACAAAGGTGGGGCGATGAATAATAATAATAATAATAATGTTGGGGCGACGATGAATAATTGTGCGGCGAAGCTATTTGTGTTTTCGAAGGGGAAGCAGAAGTTTCTAGAAGCGCATGGATTGGAGCAGTGGTGGTCGGATGACTTGGAATTGAAAGCGGCGGTGAATAATAGTAAGCTGATCAGTAGGCAGTTGAAGTCATTGTACAGCATGCCACCTCATCATCCTCCAACCAAAGCCAGATTACTGACATGAAATTCACTCTCTAGTCTCTACTGCATTTGTTTTTCTTTTTTCTTTTTTCTAATTTTTTTTAATGAAATTGAATATATTAAGTTCCTCAAAGGGAACTGAAGAAAAAAATAGTAAAAAATAATAAAAGACAATAACAACGAGTTTCATGTTGTGGGTTTGTAGTCTGAATTGTGATTGGTTGTCCGCTGCATTCTTGTGTTTGCTTGTATGGATATCTTTATTTATTTATTTATTATTTTATTTTTTTTCTGTTTCAGTCTCTGTATTTTTGTGGCATTGAAGTAGTTTTTTTTCTCAATAGCCATTATAAGTCACAGGCTATTACTTCATGCGTTTATTTCTTCTTCTTTTTCCTAATTAATCATATTCATACTCTGTAAATTATATAACCAAACTACAACTGACAACTGTATTGGAGCAGCAACTATATAACACACGACCACCTCTAAGATGGGAAGGTTCGATGATTTAGATTTTAGAGGAGCTAGTATTTTCCCCCTGCCATGCCCGCGAATAAAAAAAGTTGATTAATTTTATACACTATGGCCCGTTTGGTTCGAAACTTAAGATTAGCCAAAATAAGATTAAATAATCTAATGAGACCCAATTATTTTAGGGGTCTTTACAAATAAGCCCATCAATGGGTACTTATTTATAAAGAGATCAAGACAAAAAACTCTTTTACCAATAAGTCCACACATGGTCCAGATTTTTGTAAAGGACTAAAATAACCCCTTATACTTTAATATGCTCCGATTTCATCCTTAACTTTATTTAACCTCAATTTGACCCTAAATTTCACAAACTATTCAATTTTGACCTAAAACTTTTTTTTTCAAAAAAAAAAAAAATTTCAAAAACTTTTTTTTTCCCGCCGGATTTCGGCGTTGACTTTTAAATTTTTTTTTCTTCCGGATTTTTTCGCCGGTTTCCGGAGTTGACTTTATCAATTTTTTTTTTCCTTTTCTTTCTTTCTGTAACTTTTTTTTTCGTTTAAACAACAATATTGCTGTGATTGACAGTAATATTAACTATATTACTGTTAAACACAGTAAAATTAAACTAAACTACTGTTTAACACAGTAATATTGCTATATTAATCTCTAGCACAGTAATATTAACACAACAAAACTCATTATTATTGTGTAATAGAGTAATATTACTATGTTGACCGTTCAACAAATGTAAACATAATAAAAAACCAAAAGAATTAATATTACTGTGAGTGACAGTAATATTACTATAACAACATAATATTACCGTCAGCCACAGTAATATTACAATAATAGACAGTAATATTATTACGTTACTCCATGAATAACACAAACAAACAAACAAAAAATCCAAACAAAATAATAATATTGATGTGGTTGACAGCAATATTACTACAACAACAGTAATATTACCGTCAACCACAGTAATATTATTGTGTTTACAGTAATATTACAATAATAGACAGTAATATTATTACGTTACTTCGTGAATAACTTAAACAAAACAAAAAACCCAAAAAAATAATAATATTGGTGTTGTTGACAGTAATATTATTGTGTTTACAGTTATTTTACTGTCAACGACAGTAATATAATTACGTTGACTTGTCAACAAATCAAACAAAAAAAACAAAATAAATAAAAATAATAATATTACATTAATTTACTTTCAACGACAGCACAATTACATAAATGTATTGTCAACGGCAGTACAATTACGTTAATTTACTGTCAGTCACAACACAATTACGGTAAACATTTAGCGACGGACGTAAAAAAAAACTCAAAAAAACACTAAAAAAAGTCAACGCCGGAGACCGCCGGAAACTGGCGAAAAAATCCGGAAGAAAAGAAAAGGAAAAAGAAAAAAAAAAAAATCACCGCTGGTCAACGCCAGAAACCGGTGAAAAAATCCGAAAGAAAAAAAAACAAAAAAAAAAAAAAAAAAAAAAAAAGTCAACGTCGGAATCCGGCGGCAGAATTTTTTTTTTGGAAAAAAAATGTTTGTGAAAAAAAAAGTTTTGGGTCAAAATTGAATAATTTGTGAAATTTTGGGTCAAATTGAGATTAAATTAAGTTAAAGGATGAAATTGGAGCATATTAAAGTATGCTCCAAAAAAAAGTCAAAATTGAATTTTTGTGGTCAAAATTGGATTTTGTGGACAAAATTGATTAAATTGGGGTTACAATTAAGAATTGAGTATAAATGGTTGAGGGTAATATTGGGATATACATGAGTGTTTCCTTTATTTATAATAAATATTAAAGGGATGGGCTTATTGGTGAAATAAATATAGCCCCTAAACCTAGAATAATAAACATGCTTGGTTGGGGACTTTATCACAAAAACCCCATTATTTTATTGGAGCTTGAAACGTCCAACAAAAAAAACTCATTAGAAGGCAAGATAAGCCAGATAAGGCAAGATAAGCCATGATTATATAATTTTAGCAGGTCAACCTGACAATTTATTGAGATACCATTATACCAAACATCAAATTAAGTCCAACTATTTAGTTAATCATGGCTTATCTTAGCAACCAAACGGTATCACAATTAATAAAGCTATTATAATAATGGAGTTCTTTAATATAACCCCCATACTTTTTTAACTGAAATGCTATTCATAGTGCAACTTTTCCGCTTTGCAGTGCACTTTTGATTAATTTGTAACTTTTCTTCAAAAAATTCAAAATCATCTCAAACTCTCTCTAACACCCTTCGAATTCCCGCGGATTAAATGAGCAATCCGACAACGATTTAAGGTAAAACTCGAACTCCATTTCGTTAATCCAATGTTTTATAGTTGTATACTAATAAATTTCATCGAAAATCTACGTTTTCATTAGTTCGAAAGTTATGGAGAAAAATATATGTGTTTCGTGAAAAAAATCACGAAATTAAACTGCTAATTTCGTAATTTTTTTCACGAAATTATGACTATCTATTATTTCTTATACGTTTCGTGTGTAATACTACGAAACTAAAGCTTAAATTTCGTGAGAAAACGTACGAAATTTAAGTTTTTCTTTCTGTTGTACTATGCACGAAACCTGTGTGTTTCTGGCATTTTGCTCCCATTTCGTGGAAAAAGACAAGAAATTTATGCTTCTATTTTGTGAGATAAGTTACGAAATGTAAGCATAAATTTCGTTTCTTTTTCCACGAAATGGGAGCAAAATTTAAGTTTTTTTTTTTTTAATTTGTTTTATTTATTATTATTTAGACTGACGTCTTTGGTGTCTTATTTAACAGATGGCAGACAAAAGCAAGTCAAAGGCAATTATGCGAACAGTTCGTGATGAGGCTGAGCATCAAGAGCGCGAGCGCATGACTATGCCTACACGACGTAGGTGAGAGCTGGTCAAGTCTGATCATCGGTTGCACATCCCGATGTCGGGCCTTCCCATGCTATGGAGGAGGAAGAGGATGCGGTGGACCCCGTTCATGAGACTGAGGTTGTAGCTCGTAGAGGTCGAACACGGGGCTATGGAGCTCGCGGTGGTCGAAGTCATAGTCGTGTCAATTCGTATGTGCTAGATGGTCCATTTTCCAGTGGCCGGCGGGATCCGTCTTTAATTCCGAGTTTTAAGTCGCACGTAGCGACATATATTTGGAGGGGAGAAGTAAGTTAATTACTTGCTTTAATTTTAATATTATAATTTTTGTATCTTATATTAAAATATTTTAATAGTTGATTAACTAATATGTGTTCTAAATAAATGATTGCAGGAACGTCCGGTTGGACGAGTGGAGTCCCGTATCAGCTCCTTGTCCCATTTCAACTACGAGAACATTGGAGATGTCCTAGCCCAACTAGGCATATATGTCACTGCAGACAAGCATTTTATGCGGATGACCGGTTTGTACTCCCTAGCCCGCTCTTTCCTACCACGCATAGATGGTCCATTGTTGTTTGCATTTGTGGAGTGGTGGCAGCCGGAGACGAACAACTTCCATATGCCGTGGGGAGAGATAACTATCACTCTCCACGATGTCCACATGATACTAGGTGCCAATGTGGAGGGACGGGTGATCGCGCCTAGGTACGACGAGAGCACCAAGCGGACAAACTGCGTGCATTTATTGTCCGAGATTATGAACCTCGATTTTGAAGAGATTGACGAGGCATGGAAGCATGGGGGCCCCACATGGAGGATGATACATGCACAGTTGTTGATGCCCGACACGCCCATGCATGAGACGTCGAGTTCAGATGTATCTGGTGTTTCTTCTCGAATCGATTTTATTCCCCGACAAGACGTGTGATCGGGTGAAGCCGTGGTATATGTAAGTGCTCGAGGATGCCGTACTTGATCAGGTTGGCACATATTCGTGAGGTTCGACGTGTTTGGCCAAATCTATATAGGGAGCTAGGTATATACAGTCGAGCACAGTCGAGGAGCTTGGTGGGTTGTACCACCCTTCTTCAGGTAAATTAATATACTTTTTGTACTTATTTTTTTCATAATGTTTTTAAATTAATGTATTCTCTATTGTTTATTTAACTTAATATCTTCAAATAAAATATTGCAGTGCTGGATATACGAGCACTTCCTGAGATTTCAGCCGCCGGAGGAGAGCAAGTGGTACCGCGAGTTTCAGCCTCGATGCAAGAGGTGGAACGCGCCGCCAAAAGCGGGCACGGTCGAGCATGTTCGAAATTTACTCGACAATATGACGGCGGATGATATAAGTTTTTCATGCATTTATATTTTTCAATTTATGTATTTATATTTTTTTTAAATATGAAATTTTTCGATTTATGTATTTATATTTTTTTCTAAATATGAAATTTTTCGATTTAAATATTAATCTTTTGTAAATATGATATTTTTCGATTTATGTATTTACATTTTTTTTAAATATGAAGTTTTTCGATTTATGTATTTATATTTTTTTTTAAATATGAATTTTTACAAATGTATTCATATTTTTTTTTGTTTAGGTCGAGTGGCTACCGTATGGTGGGGATATACACGAGAGTATCCCTCGTACGTTGTATCATGGCACGATCCAGTACATGTGGGTCGTAGAGCCGTATATACCTGATCGTTGCGTCCGACAGTTCGGGTCGGTTCAGGATATTCCGCGCAGCTTGATTCCATCGATGGAGCCATGTTTACGCAGTCGGAAAGGAGGTGCAACGTACAAAGTCAATTACCCATTTTTGGGTGGTATGTGGGACATGGTACATGCTCATTCCATTCGTGCCAACGTATACAAGACGACACTACAACGGGGAAGTCAACGAGCATTACATGGATTGGTACACCTATCGGACTCATTTGAAGATCACCAACCCTGACGTAGGTCTGACCGAACTGCATCGAGAGAATGTGAGGCCACCAGATCAGCCGACTTATTATCAGATAGTACGTGTATTGTACCCGATATTTTGGGCATCTTTCCATTAAAAGAAGTAATGAGGGGGTTTCCTCAAAGAACCCATATTTATATCTATATATCTATAGTTAGGAGTATTATATCTATAAGTTACTTTGCTCAAGTGATTAGTACTCTACTAAATCACTTGGGCCACCGGGGTTCGAACCCCAAACTTAGAATTTTTTGTGTTATTTAGGGTCAGGTCCTTGGGTCGCCCCGCCGAGTAGATCCGTCGAGTCTCGGGTCAAAAAAAATTCGGGACCTGAAACCAACCCATACTTTGTTGGGTCCTGGTCAACGGGTCGGGTTCTGGCCGGGTCCTGGTCAAACTCGGCC